TTCACGGTTCAGTGGTCAATGTTAAGTTTTTGTGGTTTGGTCTATTTCTTGGATACTATAAGCAATAGGGCTACTATGTTTCGTGTATAAACTGATAATAAGTTGTACATGTTTTCGTGGCTTTTTCTTCCGTTAATCAGATACTACAGAGACATAATTATACACATGTATATATATCTCTGGATACTATAAGCCATATGTCAATTATATTTGGCGTATGGAATGGATTGGAAGGTGTACATGTCGGTCTGGTAGGGTTCATCTGACCTTGACCTCATTTTCCTGGTTCCTTGATCAGTGTTACGTTTTTGTTGTTTTGTCTGTTTCTCAGGTACTATAAGCAATAGGACCACTATATTTGGTGTATGGAATGATAGTAAGGTGAACATATCTGGTTCAAATCATTCCATACACCACATATAGTGGTCCTACGGGTTGGTATTGTTCATTTGACATATACCTCATTTTCATGGATCATTGATATTGTTTAAGTGGCATTAGCTACGATTCTTTTTGTTTCAAGTATTACAGCTCTTTTCATAATGCTAGCAAGACAAAGGTTTGTTTGGCTTGCTTGCTTTGTTTGTATCAATGTTTGCTCAAGCATTGTAATTAAGATTGACATCTGAAAACAACATGAAAAGGAGGATTTAAACTTGTATACATTATATTTAAATTTGATTGGACATTATCAAATAATCAAATTTACCTTCACACAGATTTAACTCCGCCTACTTATATTTTTTTGCAGATGTCAATCTTAATTACAATGCTTGAGCAAACATTGATACAAACAAAGCAAGCAAGCCAAACAAACCTTTGTCTTGCTAGCATTATGAAAAGAGCTGCAGTGTAAAAGTTTAGCAAGGGTGAATCATTTGGTTGACTAATTTGATCCCACAAAAATTCATTCTTATACATGTAAAAACGATGATTACATATTTTCAACCTATAATGATCTATAATATGATATCAAACAGGCCTCGAAAAATCCAATTGTACGTGCTCGCTTCTATTTATATTTATATGTATGTTTGTATCGGGTTATATGACTGTCGACAGTCTTCGATGTTCGGAGGTCGTCTCGATGGTTGATAAGCTAGCGTCTAGACTAAAACACACACAAAATGCTGATACATATTATCTAGTCTTATTCGTTGTTGATTGTTTATTTTAGAATTTTTGTGATTTGGATATACGTACGTTGGCGTTTATTTTTGTTGGAGTTCAGTGTTTCTGTTGTTCCGTTGTTTTCCTCTTATAGTTGATGTGTTTCCCTCGGTTTTGGTTTGTAACCCGGATTTGTTTTTCGCTTAATCGATTTATGACTATTGAAAAGCGGTATACTACTGTTGCCTTTATTTAGTATGTAATAAATCAAATAGGAGAATTTGAGTCAAATCGGTGAACATAAATTTGACAGCTTATGTCCCTTTAAGTGTCGTATACTTGTGATGTAGTAAAACCTTCATATTATAGACTTTCAATATAAATCCAATACCAAGTAAAGCTGGTGAGACATTTCAGCGTGTGCACTCTTGTTAAAAGCATTTATCACCCTAATTCCTCTTTAATCTAATTAGGCCAAGATTGGTAATTTTGATATCTTCAATTTCTCAAGGTAGGTTAGTTCGCTAAAGCCTGGTGTTTGTTTAGCAGCTTCTTTTCTGCACACTTTCTGTGTTGTCATTTTATTTATTTTTTTTAATTGATCCAGACTAAACTAGCATAGTCCCAATGTGTTGTCATTAGAGTTTGTAAAGTGTAATGAAGATTTCAGCATTCAGATTCTTAAATTTAAAGATCTTAATGCAGCAAATATTGAGTTTACTTTTTCACTTTTTCGCAAACATGCTTCTCGAGTGCTGGATCTTTATATATCTGTCTATATGAACGCGTATATTCCATGTTCTTCTTTACATCTCTTACCTAACAGATCGTAATTTATTTTTTTCTTTTCTTGTGTTTTTGGTTATATTTATATACTAGTACTTGAACTTTTCGAGTGGAATATTAAGGACCATATCTCACTCCAATTTTCATTTTTTTTCAGGTAGTTTTACACTGAATACTCAGTCATTGTCGTTTTGTTTTTTTGGCTTGTTTTACCTATCATCTGCAAAAAGTAACGTATAATTTTACACAATCTGGTAGGTCATTTATGTGCAGTACAAATTGTAGGGGGCCTGTTACACCAATGTCCCAGGTTAAGGGAGGATTGGACGCCCGCAAGCATGTTTAACCCATCCACATTCTGTGTGAGGAGCCTGAAATTCAGTGCATATCATATTCGTTTTTCAATTATTGTTTTGTAAAAAAATCAGGCCGTCAGTTTTCTTATTTTAATTGTTTTAGATTTGTCATCAGTATTAGGACCTTTTATAACTTACTAAGCGGTATGGGTTTTACTCGTAGTTGAAGGCGTTCGGTGATCTATATAGTTGCTAACTTCTACTTCATTTGGTCTCTAGTGGAAAGTTGTCCTGCTACTTCTTCTTATGTTTATATTAATACAAAAAAAAAACTAAATGCTTTGTATAAAATAAATACAGACTGTTTCGTAATAATTTAGAAAACTTTACTTAGAATTTATTTGACCAATCGCGGGATATGTTATTTAAACAAGAAACCTCGCAAATATAATTTAAGCTGCAAGCATTGTTACAGGTCTATCAATTTCTCGACTAAAAATGAAGCTGTGTACTCAGAAGTTGGCTGGGAATCTTTGCGTGTCGCATTTCCTCCTTTTGAAATTATATTAATCTCGTTTATAAAGTCAAAACATAAACCCTTTATTATAAAGTGGCCTATAAAATTGGTGAAATTATATACTGAAGGAATGCACCATTTATACAACTACAACTAAATACAAATCCAGTACTGCTGATTATAGATACCTATTTAACTATGCATAATATATGAAATTATAAGACATTGATGTATACTCAGTGAAAAAATACTGGACTTTGTTTATTATTGTTTTGAAGTTTCCATATCTATGGATCTCTGGTCTTACAACTTAAAAAATAAAGGGACATTAGCTGTCAAATTCATGATTACCGTTTAGACTCAATTTTTCATACTTGATTTATGACATACTAAAACGTTTATACAACAAGTAATAAAAAAAAACTTATAATGCATGAACTCGTGATAATGTATCAGCATTTCGTGTGTATTTAAGACTAGACGCCATTAAATAAATCATCGATATGATCTCTGAAGAATTTCGATGGTCAGACATATGACCCGATGTAAACATAAATATGTATATAAATACATTGACAATAAAATTGAGCCTCGGAATGGAAATGGGGAATATGTCAAAGAGACAACAACCCGACCAAAGAGCACATAACAGCCGAAGGCCACCAATGGGTCTTCAACAAGCACGTGCAATCGTATAAAGACGATTTTTCAGCTAGGTCTGTTTGATTTTATTTCATAGATTAAAATTATGTAATTAGTCGTTTTACCGATATAAGAATGATTTTTTTTTGGGGGGCGAATCATTCAACGAAATGGTTGTTCCAGTGGCTCCATTGTTTCACTTTTCAATGTTGTGATTCTTTCCTAGACGTGCTTAGCACTTGCAAAACCCCTTCCTGCTTTAGGTCAAATTAAAGGTCCATGAAACGGATACTTATTGACTTGTTAACCAATAATTCTTAAGTGCTATTTTTTGCTTTATTTTTAACAAAAAGCGAAATGTTTCAAAATTCCGCTTTTTTAAATGTTTGAAATAATAAAAAAACGTGTTTGATTTAATAACAAACAATGACAAAACCCCATATTGTATAGTCGGCTATAAAAGGCCCCGACATGAAAAATGTGAAACAATCCAAATGCAAAAACTAAGGCCTTATTATATATAACCAGAAGTCCATTACTAGAGTTGACTTCTGATATAACAAAACAATTTACAAAAAATCAAATATGAGTCGACAGACATGAACCAACGACCACCACTGAACTACATGCTCCTGACGTGGGACAGGCACATAAAGAATGTGGCAGGAATAAACATTTTTGTGAGCGCCTCCCCTAAACTGGGACAGTGGTGTGACAGTACAACATAAGAACAGACTTTAAAAATCAGTTGCAATTAGATTAACTCAAAAGATCGGTAAGAGACACAAAAAACAACTACCATTAGGACATAGACACAAAGCACCGAAATAAGAGTATTTGCAGTTACTGAAAGGTTGTTCAACGCCAAAAAACAACTAACAAATATATCTTGTTCTCCCAAACTAAAGTATCAATCAGTACACAATCAACGGATTTATTCATAAACAGTCCGAGAAACGCCATGACCTTGTAAACCTGGTATACACATACAATTATAAGGTTCTCGAAAACTGGTGGTCCGAAGGTTTTGATCATCGAAATTTTGCAATAGAAATAATAGTTATAGGACCTGCAGATTTTCTTTAAGAACCACCAGGGAAAAAAGATTTTGAGATACAAAAATTATCCAGTTTGGTTACTTCAAACAAATTTGAATGAGAAGATGTTCTTTTTGAGCATATACCAGACAAACATTAACAAATTCTTGTATAGTTTAAGATTACTAAGTTCCTGAAAATCAAATGGTCGGAGCTTAATTTAAGCCGGATTAGTTTAGCAAAATTAGTTAGGGAAGCATAAAAAATGTCTCGAACTCAGCGATTTCTTACAACCAATGTTCTTTGTTTTTACACTTATTGTATAATTACATTAATGCCAAAACAGAGCACACTATTACAGTCATGTCTACCGAATGAACTGACGAATCTTAATTTTCTTATAAATCATCGCATAAACTTCATTTATGTCTCCCAAAATATAAAAAAAAATTTGCTATGTTCGACGGCAAATTGAATTTTTGTTTTATTGCTCCTAAAAAATATCTCCAGAAGAGGTCCAGATTAATTTCTTTTACTCTTCACCAGAAGATATTCTGGAGATGTACAGAAGAGACCAATAAAGTACGCCCCTGGTATCTTCCGTGAGAAGTGCGCAAGTGTGCAAATTACTTCCTGTTATTGGTACTGTACGAGATGGTGGGTGTAGATTCAAAGCAATTTTATCTTATTATTCCTTTTACATGCAACCTGTTTTTTTATGAAGACATGCCTGTGTATGAAATGCACAGTCGCATATTTATTTTCCAACTTCAATGTAATTTTTTTATTAAGACATACAATGGGAAACATTTCATTTCCTGATAAATGTTCTAACCGGAAGCATAGAGAAATGCCGATTTTCATGATACATTTTTGTGTGATTAATATGAGACAATTTTTCTTATTATCTCATGTTCTTTACCTTATTATAGGTAAACTCTGTGTACCTAAGACGATCTGGTGAAAATGGGGAGATACGAATGGGAAATCAATGACCATAACTTAGTCAAAGAACATTGTGATTTTTACCCTTTCAAGCACATTTCTGGTAACCAGACCGGAGTTTAAACCAGTTTGGGTACATTGGGGCGCTGGTTCGTCTTCTTGACCCTGACAATGACCTGAAGATCAATCTGCAGATATCGTTTCAGTTTTTTTCTGAGCCCAGTTGTTTTTCAGATTATCCTGAATTTAGCTTCCTCTACCATGCTAACATACTTCCTCATGTCCTTAGATGAGCAGCATCAACCCAACAATTGATGCAGGGGCAAAAGGGGAGATATTATGTGACTCATCAGTTTCTGCTCCACTAATGACAATTGTGATGTTACAGCTTTTAAAGTTCTTTGATGCGGTACTTTGAAAGCGTAAAAATACCTCTACAATGCTCTGAAATCCCAATTGTTAACAACCAAAAACTAGAAATGAAACAAGACTATAATTTATGGTAATAGGGTCTCACTACTTGAAAATGTCGTTTGCGCAAAATCTCCCCCCTGATCTGAAATAGCTGAGGGGACGATCTCCCCCTCTTTGAAGGTTTCAGAGGTTGGCAGGTATGAAATACATGTACATGAATATTAACTGCAACTTGATAATCTGAAGAAATTGCATATTGTTATTCTGAATTTTCTATATGTAACAATATCACTGCTGTACAACATGTACAAACATGTAAACAGAAGGTTGATAACTCTATCTTAATTTTACTTAAACCCATATTATATTGAACTCAGGACTAATATCCAGACCATTATTACATTAACCATACATATAGGGTTTTTCACTTAGGCAAGTCCATGAGTCCTGGACTCTTTGAAAATCTGTCGACTCATCATTTTCAAAACTGGTGAGTCCAAAGATGCATCAAAATTGTAAATTGTTGTATAAATTGAGCACTCATATCATATTATATCAAAAAATAAAAATAATCTAAATTTGATGTCATTTCCATGCTATATTTTGTGATGGAGACTGAAATGATGAATTATATGTCAATACAATTTCTTCTTCTCACTGTTGGACTCATCATGGCCAAAGACTCGCCTTCAAAAGTCCTTAGTGAGAACCCTGCATAAACATTTAACATGTAACTGGCAATAGTAATGACAAGTCTCAACACTTTAAACCTTAGCAGTGTTCTAGCCAGGATTTATGCGCAGAAGGGCACAGATTTTTCAAAATCACTGCAATCAGCAGGGATCTCCATGACCTGTTTTATGATGGCCAACGCCATCATTAAATTATATTTCGCCATTGTCAAAATTTGTTTTTGTTTCGCTAGTTGCTGCCATTTTTGTTAGCAATTATAATCAGTTGCATTTAATTGCATAACCCTTATTGTATCATAATTCAAAGGGTCCTCATGGTCCTCCTGATTACAGTTTTAAAGAGGGGTACAATGTATCTGCCTAAAGATTGCTAATCACTTGTACCGGTAGATTGACACACCTGACAGGAGAAACTTTATCAAGATAGATGATTAATTGCTTTATTTAATTACGTTTCAGCAAATGCTAATGAAAATTTAGATTAAAAAATAAATTTTAAATCTAGTTTCGAAGAAAAAAGTTTAGCAAGTCGAACACATGCTTTTATAATGAATTACGCAATCAGCATCCCCCTTTTTAAATGAGTACAAAATAAGACGTAAAACAGAACATGATTTCATGCCAAATAACACGAGTACAGCAATTATTGATAATATTGAATCACTTTACAAGTTTAAAAGTAAATACATGCAACTCGATAATCTGAATAAATTTTGTATCGTAATTCCAAATTCATTTCCTAGTTTACAACCAAAATAATACGTCCAGTTTTGATTCAGAAACGAAAGATGCATGTTGCATAGTCTATAACTATGATTGAAATTTGTAATTTAAAGTCATTAAAACCATTTAAGTTGTAAACGTTTGCCCTCCAAATATTTCTTCAATGTTTTACAAAACGGGTACAAAACTTCTTGTTGTTGATGCTGCAAATGTGATACCGGTTCATGACATTTGAATTCGAGAGTGAAAAAAAGGCCCCCCCTGCCCCAATTTTTAATTCCTTATCAATTACCATAATAGCAAGAAAGCGACTTGGGAACCTTAAGGACAGCTTGTGGTCATTCTTGACATTGGAATTGCTACAAGTGGCAATTAATGAAAATATTGGTTATTCTATAATGAAATAAATACAATAAGCCATATATCAGTCTGTTCACCATTCCTTACATAGAAATGGAGGAGTGAAATACTTTCAATCATGCCACGCTGTTTAAGAAGGGTTTTGTGAAAGTTCCTCCATCTTTCAGTTTTCATCCATGGAGATCCCTGATCAGGGCTAATTAACTCATTTCTTGTTTGTAAATTGTAAAGGCACACATTTATCATGTTATAAGATAAAAGATAACTAATAGTTTTTGAAAGAATTAATGTATTTTTGGGCTTGATATAGCCTTATCTGGAAATGTAATTGATTTTTTTTTTTGCATATAAATATGTTTTTTCCTAAAGAAAACAATGAACCATATTTAGCCGTGTATAGTACGCAGTTGTGTATAATACGCACCCCCTTTTCATCCCTCCAAAATCGTGGAAAAAAAATTTAAAAAAAAGGAAAAAAGGAAAAGAAATAATATAGAAAGGTAAAAAAAGAAGATTAAAAGTAAAAAAAAAAAATTAGAATGTTATTGAACAAAAGAAATTCGACCTCAAACATTTTCAAAGTTGGTTAGCAGTAATTAAAATTTAATGACTCTATAATCCGATATTTCCTTTTCATTGATCAATTTTAAATTACAAATAAAGAAATAAAATAAAAAACGACTTGAACATAAACAATAATGAAGAAAAAACGCTTTTTAATAATAAAAAAAAAAAAACGTCTATAGCTGTGTATAATACGCACCCCCTCTACCAACTACTTTTTGGGGGTAAAAAATGTGTACTATACACACCTACAGACGGTATGTATAGAGCAAAACCTTAGGAGATGAGGCATAAGGGAGACTAGGACACTGTTGTGAGCTGATGACTTGTGGTTCTCACAAAGTACTTGTTGATATGAAGAGGTTTCGATCTAGTCATAGATGTTGGAATGTCTCATGATTGTACATGTTTTAGAATCTGCTAATCGAAATTGTGGAATCTTGAGGAACACTTATGTAATTATTTGAACAGCACTTGCCATTATTAATTATACACTCGAAAAATAAATATTAGGTACGTTATGTAGAATTAAGCTGTCTTCCTTTAAAGTACCTGTTTTTTCTGCCTTTTATGCACATGTACTGTAAGAATGATGCTTACTTGTCTGATATTTTGAAATTGAAAATTTATAAGCACATGCTTATTATGTTTCAGTCTGCTACTTTGAAGCCTTACTTGAACGCCATTAAGCACACTCTTACAGCAGCCATTTGTGTCCAGAATTTCAACTCACAAGTTGTTGAACGTCACAACAAACCAGAAGTAGAAGTCAAGTAAGTAAAGTAATCTGTACTAGTCTACATGTTTGTAAATTACATATTTCCTCTAACATTTGATGGGTTGATAACAAAAATGTTTAGTGACTGAAGAAAAATTATACCTCCAAAGTGCCAGTCAGTGACACACTGTATTCCGCTCTCAAAGAATGAAATGAAACATCACTAAAATTAAAACAACAGGAATTATGTAATAATGACACGCTGTTCATTATTATATATACAATGTACATGTATAGACAGATAATAATAACACTAGTTAAACATATCATTTTAATTTCAGATCAAGTAAAGAACTTCTTCTTACACCAGTTGTAATAAGTAGAAATGAGAAAGAAAAAGTATTGATAGAAGGCTCAGTAAATTCTCTTAGAATTAGTATAGGTATCAAACAGGTAATTATAGCTAAGTGCCTACATCATAATTTGAATTAACAATGATAATATGATTGATTGTTGTTTGCTTAACATTTGGTAGTATATATGTTGTGTACAAATTGTAATGTTGTACAAATTATAATTTGTACAGAATTTTTGTACAAGTTATCAGTGTTTTATGAGCCGCTTAACACAAATGGATGATACAAGCACACAGTCTTTTGTTTCGCTTATTTCTGTCATATTTCTATGACTACATGATACAGTCTAATACTGAGCATCGAAATAAAAAACATTATAAGAACACGAATAGACTTTTTATGGATATGATTTTGGTGTAAGGAGAAAAAAAAAAACAGAATTTAAACGATTCAGGTGTCCTTATTTCCAGTTTAAAGACAGGGAGATTGCACTAAATGTTAGGTTGAAGTATATAAATTTGAATTTAAGACATTAAGCTGATTAATTTAAGAAGATAAACTTTTATCATCTGATGCAAAAAGGTATGTGCCAAAAAACTTATAACTTGTACAAAAACCCTGTACAAATTATAATTTGTACAAACTTACATCTTGTACACAACAGATACATTGTATTAGATGTTTTTAATTAAGGAGGAGGATAAGTTATTTGTAAATAAGGAATAAGTTGGATAGGGTCTGCAAATAAAGCTGCATAAGTAGATAAGGCTACATTTAACAGTAAGATAAGTAATAAAATTCTCTCCTAGGTACATGTAGCTACTCTCTGTCTTTTCTGTGCACCCTTCTGCCCTTAAAGTCCTCGCTGATGTATTTTTATTTTCTAAAAGAAAAACACTTTTCAGGGGTCACCACACAGGACACTTAAAGATTTTAAAGAGAAAAAACACTTCTGACACCCAAACAGGGAGACTTGTGGGACTAGTGAGGGATGGCCATAATGTTTTTCGTGTGATAAATTTGCCAGCATTGCACCCCATTATTGTAGGAGCCTTTTTCTTTCCCTTATTTTGTGATTTGAACAAGGATTTTTCTATTAATAATTTATAATTCTTGGTCTGAATGAACTGGTAAAGGTGTTAAAAAATAATGCATTTATTTTGTTTGATCTCAAAGCTAATTTAAAATGAGCCTGTCTAGATTTGCTCACATTTGGGATAAATAATATTTTTATGCCCCCGACGTAGCAGAGAGGGCATTAAGTTTTACCCTTGTCTGTCTGTACGTACAAATGTACATGTAGGTCCCAAAATTGGTTTCCGTTCTCTAACTTGAGTTTGCCTCAACCGAATGTTATGAAACTTATACACAAAACACAGATCAAGTTTGAATTTTGGTGGCGTCACTTTAAACGTTCAAGAGTTATGCCCCTTTATAAATGGAAAAATTGCAAAAATTTTAGTTTCCGTTCTCTAACTTAAGTTTGCCTCAACCAAATGTTATGAAACTTATACACAATGCTTATTATCACAAAACACAGATCAAGTTTGAATTTTGGTGGCGTCACTTTAACCGTTCTAGAGTAATGCCCCTTTAAAAATTGAAAAATTGCTAAATTTTTAGTTTCCGTTCTCTAACATAAGTTTGCCTCAACCAAATGTTATTAAACTTAAACACAATGCTTATTACCACAAAGCACAGATCAAGTTTGAATTTTGATGGCGTCACTTTAACTCTTCTAGAGTTATGCCCCTTTATAAATGGAAAAATTGCAAAATTTTTATTTTCTTCTAAATATCAAGTTATTTATAAAATTGGAGTTATCTTCCTTTGTCCATGATTATGGTTGAATCAACTACAATCATTGCTTAATACAATGCAATGTTTAATTTTGACTTCCACTGATAAAACACAGATCAAGTTGAATTTGGGTAGTGTCACTTTAACCATTATTGAGTTATGCCCCTTTATAAATCGAAAGATTGCAAAATTTTTATCTTCCATTCTTTAACTTTAGTTTGCCCCAACCAAGCATTATGAAACCTATACACAATATTCATTACCACAAAACTTAAGATCAAGCACAAATTTTTTGTTTCCGTTTTCTAACTTTAGTTTGCCTCAACCAAATGTTATGAAACTTATACACAATGCTTATTACTACATAATACAGATTAAGTACGAAATTTGGTGGTGACACTTTTACCATTCTTGAGTTATGTCCCTTTATAAACATACAAATTGCTGAATTTTTCGTTTCCGTTTGTCTCAATCAAATGTTATAAAACTTATACACAACTGTCTAGAGTTATGCGTGTTTACAAATAGAAAAATTGCTGAATTTTTAGTTTCTGTTCTGTACTTAAGTTAGCCTCAACCAAATGTTATGAGATTTACACACAATGCTTATTACCACAAAACTCAGATCAAGTTCAAATTTGGGTAGCGTCACTTTTACCGTTCTTCAGTTATGTCCCTTTATAACTATATTTGTAATAAATAAAACTAAAACCAAAGAGTACTGTTTTCGATCCAAAAAAATGTCATTTTAACTACTGAAAAAAGATTTATATCATCAATAGATACTATTGCCAGTTAATAAAAATCAATTTTGTTAATGATATTTAATAGAATCACTGTGGATCCCAATAAATTGAAACAAGTAAGCTTTCACCAGGTTGTGAAAATTTATCTACTGATAACGATGAAAACTAAATTCCAATATATGTACCCATATACTTGTTAAGTAACATTTATAGAAATGATGACAGTTGCTATTTATATATTACCTTAATACAGTGTATATTGCATTGTTTTAAGCATGATATATATTGAAGTGTATATTTTGACAGGCTGATGATATAGAAAAAATCTTGTGTCACAAATTCACCCGATTTATGATGCAAAGAGCAGAAAATTTTGTTATTCTTAGGAGAAAACCTGTAGAGGTAAGAAAAACCTGATTATATTAGTTTGAATAATATAGATGTTCTAGGAAACATTTTTGAAAATTAAATGAGGCTTGTCATTAAAGTGTGTTAAAAATTAAAGTTCAAGATCTAAGTTGCAACATTGGAAGTGGACTGCAATGATTAGTTTAAATTCATAAGCTCAAAGAAAGCTGATATAAAAAGTCCAGTGCAAAAGTTATGCTTTATATTGTTTCACTTGGAAAATCTTTTTAAAAAACTGTCATTGCAGACTTGAATAGAATTGGCTTTGTTATTTTTGTATTGTACATGCACATTCACAAGCATATGTCTTTTGACCATGGTTTCTAGTATTTGTCCTGACGAAATTGAAAAAACAAGACTACAGTGTGCTGTTTCCAGCAGCGTCAACAATGTATTAGTTTCTGTTTAGGTCAGTTTAAGGGGAACTACTAGTGGTAGGTCAATGATATTGGTATGTAGATGAATTAGCATTGGCAAATCTCATTTCCAGAGAGATAATCTGCCCTGCTCCTCAGTCATGGTCTAATGGCTTTTAATGTTTTGCATAGTTTACATGTCAAGGTTTGTGATTAGGTATTTATATAGGAATTGTATTTGAAATATATTTTGGATTAACTTCTCGCTGACAATAAATTATTTTGAGCAATGCTTGTGCTCTGTGGTATTATAAAATAATTTTCCCAAAATGTGCTTAGTTTACGCTAGAACCTGGTATTTTGCTGCATTTAACTTATCTTTGAATATTTCAGTTGAATGTTTTGTTTTATGTTTCAGGGGTATGATATAAGTTTTCTTGTAACGAATGTACATACAGAAGAAATGTTTAAGCATAAACTTGTAGACTTTATAATTCATTTTATGGAAGAAATAGACAAGGAAATTAGTGAAATGAAGATAGCCCTTAATTCTAGAGCTAGATTAAGTGCTGAGGAGTTCCTAAAACGATTCTGATTCAGTCTTTTATTTTATAAATGGTAGGTACAAGTCATGTAATAAATGCATAAAAGAAAATAATTGTTTCCTCATGTCCATACAACAAGGTGTAATCTTAAAGTACTGGTACACAGGGAAATTTCACTCACATGAATGGAGATTCACGTCAATCTCCCTTGAAATTCATGTGAATTTCACCTCAAATGAGCCTATACGTGAAAATCACATGAATTTTTGTCATGTCAAAGTAAAGTTATTCTAATAACATCTAAATTTTCAAATTTAATTAAAGTCATGAAAATACCAAACTTTATTTTTGTATAGTTCATGTGATATTCACTTGTGATTCATGTGGTTCTCAATTCACATGAAAATTTCACGTGAGTTTCACGTTAAAGCTCATTTGAGGTGAATTTCATTGAAGATACATGTGAATTTCACACGAGCAAATTTTGCCTGTGTACTTAAATTTTAAATACGTTTTCGTAAATATAAATATTTTCTTGGTTATGAAATAAACATATGAAACTTTATATATAAGAGCAAAAGAAAATTACTAAAAAGAATAAAACGTTCAAAAATTGCAATCTGCAGTCCACTATCAGAATGCTAATATTAAGTAGATTTTAAAAGAACAGTTATCCATTTATCAAATAGCTACCATTGGAAAGTCAAACAAATTTCTTTTTATGTCGGCCTATAAGTACAAATATGCAGTATTTCAACCTACATTTCAGGTAAAATCTAGCAGCTAAAATCTCTATCTTTGCTAAAACTTGTTTAAAATGAGACACAATAATCTTTGGTATTTTTATAAACAGAAAGCCAATTACACTACACTCATGACATTGTTTTATATTGATGGTATATTTTAAAACTGATTTTATTTTCTGTTTTCAGATAGAAAATGGTGCAGCAAATACATTTTTAAAACCATTCCTTTATGGATACTTGTTCAGAAGAAAGATTAAAGCATGTCTCCTAGATGTATATTCTGTGAAAGCTTATAAGGAAATTGTACAATGAACACAGAAATTTTATTGTTAAGCATGTAAATTGGGGTTAAAAAATTGATAGATAGACAATTCTTGATTAAGTTTGAATTCCATTAATACAATCAGACTTTTTAAAATGATCTATGGGTATTTCTGGTGTGCATCGTCATTTAATTTTCATTTGTTTTTGTATTGTAATACAACACTGCTGTTCAATGGTGAATTACTATTTCTGAAAAAAGAAACTGCAAATTTGTACTTTATTATGTAATTAAATTTGTGGATTATTTCAAGAAGTACAAATAATAAATTTACATTTTGCAGTCAGATATGATTTAAACCATAAAACATCGAAGATTTTAAGTGGTTAGGAATAACAGTATATGATTTTGGGGGTAGATCTATGTTACTAGGAAGACTGTGCTACAGTTTTATATATAAATATTTTCAGTAACAAAAATAGAGAGGGAATTCTGATTTTAAGCACTTCTGTTTACTTAATGACTGATTGTTATTTTTAAACATATTTTTGCAAAATGTTTTGAAAATTTCCACCTTGTTTTGAAACTTTTTATTACTATAATGTTATTGTAAAACATGAAGATATTATTTTTACACTGCCTTAAGCACAACCACATGACTACTCAAAAACACTCAGATTGTTAAAAAATTGAAATACTTGTTTAGCTGTAATTTTGTATGCATTCCATGTGTGGGAAGGGGTTTCCATCCTAATTTTCCAAAATTTTTGCATGATTTTAAAAAAGAAAATCTGGCAATGGGGCTCCATACCTTAGACCCCTTCTCTTGATCTGCAAAAATGTTCACAAAAATATTTCTCAAATGCCCCTCATACTTCCCTAACTACCTGGCTGTAAAATAACACCTTTCAGTGAGGAAATCAGACAAGTCCAAAGGGGACTATTAAACACAAACTTATTTATACTTAAAAAATCTTTCAACAAAATAAAAAAAAATTAATCCTTGAGATGCAAATTCTTAGTATCTTTTGATGTGAACTGTTGTAAATAAGGTTTTTACCATGAATGCAGCAGTATCAGTTAATGTGAGCAAGACTTGCGTCAAATTGTTTTCCCAATATCTTAAAATAGCTGATTATTTTAAATTTACAAAATAAAAGATTGCATGCTTATTTCCATGTTATTGAATAGGGTAAGTATGCATTACAATTAATAACATTTAACAACCAATATTTAGACCTTTTTACAAGGACTAAAAACAACATTTACCATTTTTTGCATTTATAATATTAGAGTTTTTTTCAGTTGTAAGACCTAAAATGTGAATATATTTTTCTGGGTGAACAATATATGGCTTTCTTCTTTCACAGAGCTTTATATATTCAATGGTGATAACATTCAATTAAATGCAGTGGCATAAGTTCATTTGCTTTCACTTTTTTGTTGTTACATTCCAGCCACTTAGGCTGAAAAAAAAGTTGTATTGTAGTAAATTCTTCTTTAGTTCTGAAATAGTCTGAACCCATTCAAGAATGGTGCTAAATTAAACTGAAATTGGGTATCTGACATAAGAAAACAATATTTTACATGCATTTTCACAGCTTTCTAAATTGTGTACTTTAATAGATGATTGCTTATTAAAAGCTTCTGTCATTGCATATAAAGGCAGTTTTTTTTAGGAAAAGTAGCTTGTAGCATTTTCAAGATTTAATAGTTTGGGAAGGGGGAGGGCTTCGCTAATGAAGTTTAGGTAACATCTTTAATCTGTCTCAGTATTATTTTGTATATAATTTTTTATATCTGTGGACAATATTTGTGACAGAATCAGAACTTAAGAAAAGTGACTTGGAAGAAGTTTGTTGGCCAAAACCAGGTGCTACAGTTTAACACCTAAATTCTTTACATTGGTTTTCCCTTCAAAATAATATTGACATATTTGATAATGATGTTCATTAATATGCTTCTTTCTATCTATTAAAGTTTCCTTTATGTACCAATATGTGTTAGTTTTGGTAAATGATAGACACTACTATTAGTGTTACATTTGATATGAATTATGGTTCAGTCTCCATGCTATAGAAAAATTTCAAATAAAATACTATCATGAATATCAAAGCTGTGTAATTTTATAAAAGAATTCTATAAACATGTAATCATTTTGTACATATATTTATACTTATAAAGGGTATATTATAAATTATATGCCTAGCAATAAACAAAATCTATAAAAAGTTTATTCTGTTGTTATGCATTTCTAACCATATTACCTGATATATGTACACTTCCACCTATGAAGAGCATTTCAAACAAGACTCTGAAAATAATGTTTGCTTATTTAACTGCATCCTCTTATCAGAAGTTCCATTCAGTAGAACAAAAAGAAAAGGTAGATTTGGGTGTTATGCCATAAATATGTATAATTGTATATGCTACTAGTTTTTGTCCTTATAGAAATGAATGAAATCATCAGAGGGAATGCTTCATGTCCTAGGATACCTCCACCAATAAAAATTGACCGTAACCAAATAGCACAAAAGTGCTGAAAGTGACATTAAACACCAATCAATCACTCATATCCTAGCTCTTAATTTTATAGTTTAACGTGAATGAGGTGTCTGTGAATGGTGCATGTTTTGTCTTTCCTTGTATTGCAAACAGCAACCCCCTATCAAGGATGTTGTGATATAAATATTGCAGGGTGATTTTTTTATATCTTAACCCTTCCCATCTGGATCACTGGACTATCAAAAGTTACTTAAAAGAACATACATTTAACCTTTGAACATGTTGAATAATTCTATAAGGTGAACTAACACCTACAGTGATGATTGTGCGGTAGGGCAGTAAACGAGTCGTGTATGAATAATGAATAAGATATGATATAATAAATTCATGTAAGTTCCTGAATACCATATGCATAGGGAGAAATAAGCTCCCACTGCAGCTGCTGCTGGAATGATGAACAGATACAGTGTCAAAATGGAAAATTGAAATCCTTTCATTGTACAGCTTAGTTCTCAACTTACCGGTACTCTCAATTTCAATTTTAGGTATAAGTCAATGTCATATGCATAAACCATATTGCTCTTTCATAAAAGTTTTGAGGGCAGTTTCCCTAGATTAGTCACTACCTGTTGTATCCTTTGTTTCAAGTTCAATGGGATACATGCTAACAGTCAACAAACTGAGACACTTAGGACATCATCTATATCACAGATCGTTTCTTTTCATTCATATTGAGATCTAGCTACATAGGCGGATCCTGGGGGGCCCGGCCCCCCCCCCCCTTTCGTGGGAAAAGTTTGGTTGATTATATAGGGAATCACTGAAGCATGACTGGAGCCCCCCCCCCCCCCTTTTTAGGTCAATCAGCGGGCCCCCCTTATGAAAAGTTCTGGATCCGCCACTGAGCTAGCTATATGGTGAAAAGAGGAGACCAGAATGTTCCCATAGAAATGCTGCTAAAACTTATCAAACACTATATGTTGTCTCTAAAAAAACAAAGCATCTTGATGATAACAGATCTTTTTAAGATCAGATAACATTTTTGACAACGGTAGTGTAATGAAAGTTAGAGGACATGTCTTGCAATATATTGCATTGAAATATTAGAAATATGTGTAGTCAATAAGTATACAATGAATCGTCTATGTAAAAAATGTTAAATATACAGGCGCCAATATATTAACTTCGTGAATTGATGTATGAAGTATTCACATGACAAATGGTTGAATCCCTTACTTTGAAAAAAATACCACTTTGCATTATTAGGTCATATCTTTCAGCAACAACACAATGGTCAACATTTTTTCTGATAACTCTTAACGATTAAGCCTGTTTCCAAACATAAGTTCCAGTTTGAGTAAAGTATAAGTATTGTATTTTTGATGATATTTCCATATTGATTTTGATTCAGTCAAGACAACAGGCAATATCGTTCTCTGAGAAGTAATTGTCCGTTTGGCTGTGTGATGTACAAATACGCAGCCACGACCGGTTAGAACCGAGACGTAAAATCCGATTCCTAGTGTAGAGAGATTATCACGATTTGCACGTTAAGAACCCTTGCAGCACCTCTTGGAGGGGTCCGTGGGTGGCCTGTTGCATGCAAGGCAAAAATAATATCCCTATCTAATATACCCTCATTATAGTCCTAGTGGCAGTCCTAATGCCCCGCCCATCTTCCCCGTTAACCACTATTACAGGACCTACTTATTGTATGAGACTACTATTGTTAATTTGTTTTTGTCCTGAACAAGCATGAAATATTTGCCACTGGACATAAAGCAAACATCAATCAGTACATATTTGAATGTTATAGTTGTTCCCTTACATTTTTGTTGCAGCAAAGGACAACATAGCAAAATTCATGAGCTTGCTTCTTATTTGTATTTCATCATTTCATTCAATTATCAATAGGTCATCCAATGTTCACTTCCATGAGAGGACAGGTCAATCAGATTAAAATACAGTCCACTATTCTCTTACAATCAGTTTGATGAGAGGTTAAAGCTTTGTAATAGACGCATTGGAAATTGGTTACAGATTTATTGTGAATTTGAAATTGTTTTTAATTCCATTTTAGTTTATTGCTTTGTGAAACGTTTTAATTTGCTACAAATATTCTCCAGAAAACAGCGAGTCACAAAAAGAGAGATGACACAAATGGGAAAAATAAATTAAAAAAATTATAAGTCCATCAAACCAGACAACACAATGTCCAAAAAGAAAAAAAAAACGAAGAAATGACAAACAACCATAAAAAACACACACTACACATACAACTAAAATTGAGAAAAAAGAATTCCACCAAAAAAAATGGGAGTGAACTAAATGTGCTCCGGAAGGATCAGTTTCTGCTCCACTACTTGATCCAATGTTTTACCAACAGCTTATAATTTCTATGTTTTTATTTACATCAGTACTTTTCCGACAACTTCTCTAGTGGTTAAGATTTCGTATCTCATGTTTATGGTTTTATTTCGCTTATATATATATATATATACATAATGAGTAATAAGTCTTTTTTATACTGTTAATATATTTATACACACATTGTTGTCAATATAATGAAATTCTATGCGACTGTCTTACACGTGAGAGGTTTAGATAGCTATAAAACCAGGTTTAATCCACCATTTTCTACATAAGGAAATGCCTGTGCCAAGTCAGGAATGTGACAGTTGTTTTCCATTCGTTTGATGTGTTTGACCTTTTGATTTTGCCATTTTAACTTTCCGTTTTGAATTTTCCATGGAGTTCGGTAATTTTGTTATTTTACCTTTTTTAGTCTAGATAAGTTTAGAATTTCTATTTTAGTTCTCCCATTAGGGGACGACCATTTGATATTCTGGGGGGGGGGGGGGGGAGGGGGGGGGGCAGGAGAATTTGTTTTGGATGGGTTATTTATTTTTTTGGACCAAAAGGACAGATTATTTATTTTCTGCACTGTTGAAGCATGATTTTTCATTTTCATTAAAACAAGGGACTGATTATCTATTTTCACAATTATATATTTAATATTTGAAAACATCCAATTTTTAAATTCATAAATAAATAACATAGTCAATTAAATCAATCAGAATTAATCATCATCCTCCGGAAGTTAATCTTCTGAATTGCAAAACTGCATATATTGCATACGTACAAGGTATTAACGCTGGGCTGTAACTAGCCTCTTTTAAAAGTTGTCAAACATTTTTGCCAAGCGGAGCGAGGTGAAAAAAACCAGCGAAGAGTCTGGGGTTCCCTGAAGGCCCCAAGAAGCTATAGAAAAAATGGCGCAAAATCATGCATTATGCGCGTTTCCCAGTCCCTTTCTTAAATTGAAACACAAGTTCTGTTTTAATTTTTTGACAATATTCTGGTCTCAAAGCAAAATATATAGATTCAGTGTAAGACTTTTAGTTTTTAGGGACAACATCAAAAGACCAATATGTAGGACAAAGCAAAATATGTTTCAGTTTGCAGAAAAACCTTTTATACCTGTCAATTATGTTTTTTTCAAATTAAGTTAAGAGGGGGCTGATTATCATTCATATAACTATGTCAAGTCAGTTTTCTTTAACACATTTCAATTACAACTTGATGTAGTGCCTAACTGGGATATAATTTAAAATAGTTTGTAATAGACAAAAGGTCCTTAAATATAATAAAACTCAAGTATAAAACTCAAGTTTAAAACATAATTACTAAATTACAAATTGAATGCAAAACTAAGAGAATAGTCATAAAGAAGGGCAATCAATGAACAAAAGACAAACCCGGGAACAGATAAAACACAAAACGACAAACATTATAGACAATCAACACTGAAAAATAAAAATAAATGAGAAACATGGATCTCAAAAAACAGGGGCTACGTCAGAGGGTGAACAGAACTTGCTTCTTGCAAGACACTTGCCGTGAAAACAATTTGATATGAAGACAAGCTTTTGTTTTGAAATTTCCAACATGAGGCATTTGCCTCAATGTAGTTACGGCCCTGTAATAAAAGTGAGGTAAATGTTCACGAGACAATATACCTCAAGTGAAATGAAACCCATTTTCAAACATTTCAAATACATTAATATTTATATTATTAAAAGATTTGGGAAGTTTTTCCCGAAAAAAATATGAAAAGATGAATTTTAGAAGAATCTGGTGCCATCTCATACTTAGAATAGCATTTATAAAATGGCTTAAAAGACCTGCCAAGTTATTTTCAATACATTGTAAGACAGGTTATTTATTTTCAAACTACCACAGAACAAACCATTCATTTTTGTTATAATCAAGGCTGAGTTATTTATTTTCAAAATCCTCCTGCCCCCCCCCCCCCCCACCCCAGAATATCAAATGGTCGTCCCCTTAACATCATTTCGATCTTAAACTGTTCGTTGTTACTGTATGTAATGATTGGTTATTATTTAAAAAAGCGTTTTTAACCGGTCATGCGCAATCATCATTGAATAAACTTGAACATAGTTACAAAGAAAAGAACTCGCATCTCATGACTGTTAAGGACGGTTTTACACTAAATTTTTCGGATGTGTACTGAATGATATTTTGTCTTTGATACATGATTGTTTATTCGTTGTTATTGTCTTTGAAATTCACGGATGGCAAGGCAATACAAGATACTTAAAAGCCTTACAAAATATTTTCAGTTATAAATCTAAAAATTTGCATGCTACATGTTTGTGTACTGTCGATCATTGAGAATTATTTGACGTACTTCCTTGCTCGGGGAAGCCATATTTTGATTATGAAATATTTTCACGGATAGTATTTCACTGTGAAACTCCCAAAGTAGTTGACAAATTTAATGGAGAATGACAATATTACATTATTATAATGAAATATAGTCCTGAAAATTATTTCTTTATAAAATATTTCATGTAGGGTCATTATTTTATGAGTTACAGATGTAGACATCTTTTGATTTTTCAAGACAAATATTGAGTCATAAAAATGGCAGTACGGACAGGGGTTTCCAGGAAGAAAAATCTAAAATATCAACAGAAATGACATATTTGTGAATTTTACTTTAGAACTATGTCTATGTCATCAGAGACATTTAATACATTATGATATGGATGTATCTGATGTCATGTACAAAAACTTATTAATATCCGATTCCGCGCTTATTCCGTCATTCGACTAGATTTAGTAACGCCACGCATCGGAACCCCTCTGTTGTTTACTTTAGGAACATGATGCAATAACAACAAACTGAAATGACTTGAAATATGTTTCAAACATTCAACAATCTTGCATCATTTTACGGTTTATCAGCTCTTTATTTGTTGAGCGTATCTGCATTACAGAACACTTTATAAATTTCCTTTCTCAACAGTATACTGAAATTTTGTATTTAATCTGAACCACTTTCAACCAGTCATGAAAGTCGATGAAGTTTTACAATGTAGTTTTCCCTCTTGGTATAATAAATTTAAGGATATAACAATAAAGAGGTAAATTTAAATTGTGAAAATATGAAAAAGTACACATGCTTTTGAACACTTAATAAAAGAGTCAAGACTTTTTTTGAATGTTAGACACTATATTCAGCAAACATGATAGATGATGATACATCTGACAGGTTCGGCAAACCCCGTACCTGATATTAAACTCCTGAAAACTCAATAAGAACCGGAGAACCGATAGATATTACCTATTGAATATGTGAGAGTAGCTGTTATGTGAGAAAAAGAAATTGACCATCTCGTAAAATCAATCAAATGATGCGTTTAAAGGTGCATAGTTCTGTGTGAAACCTCACTGTAGAGTGCTCTGAAGCGATATACTTTTTTGAGGGACTCTCAAATTAAGGATAAACTCAATAATTTTTCAGAATACTGGCAGCACTGTAATAGCATGATAATTCTTGATTTCCATAATTGATCCCTTATTTTTAAATACTGGAGATAGAACTATACCAGAAATATTTTGCCTCTTTTGACAAATACGAACAAAGTAAACAGGATGTTCCAATATATTGTTAACATTGTCTCATAAAGTGTGGGATCTTTAGAAATCGTGTTAAGGAATGCTGGGAACAATGTTACACATGTAATGTTGAGAGCTTCATAATAGCAGTAATGATTGTTGTACAATCTCAGCCTCAGTTAATATAAATGTCTCTGCTTTTATCATGATTTTTTGGGTGATTATTTTCTTACATTAATAATAATGCACAATTATATTTTGCATTATTTCTTTATATCTATGAAGTTTCAAATGGCATTTTCAAATAACAGGCAAGAAACATAAAGATGTGAGGCCATATCTTTATACATGTATACTCATATTTTAGCTACATGATTCCACTTCCTCAAGAATTCATTGATTACCTTCATGCTGATGGAATTGTACTCCCAGCAGAGTAAGTAAATCTTATTAGTTTGATTTAATTGTAAATATGCTATAGGACAAAAGCTATCATGTATATTTGTTAAGAATTGTACACAAAAAATTCAGTAGTTTTTGAAATAACAAAAATGTCACTCTTAAAAGTTTAATAAAAAACATACACCACTGATAAAAAAAAACCAGAGGATAGAGGATAGAATAGATGTAAGGAACTATATAAGTCACCTGCATCAATGAGTAAAACACTCACTGCATAACTAGATGTAAAAGGCCTCAACACGACAAAATGTAAACAATTCAAACAAGAAAATCAACAGCTTGATTTATATACAAAAAATCAAACGAAAAACAAAATATGATATACAACAACAAATGACAACCTCTGAATTACAGGCTAGGTCTGGCACATACAGAATGTGACAGAGTGATCTTATTGTGTTCACAGTTACTGAAAGCTTGTGCAAAGCCAATAACAACTTATAAAAAATCTTGTATCCATGCCAAATATCAATCAGAACACATTCAATGAATTTAGTATGCATTGTCTTATTTTGCTGGTATAAATAACATTGCTTTATTTATGATTATAAATATTAAGAAAAACACACATATATTTTACTTTGATATATTCACCTGATGAATATAGATTGTAAGTATGAAATACACATGAAAATTAATTATTGATTTTTTTGTATTAAGGTCAATTACAGCCAGCGCACAGGAAAGTAATGAAGACAATGTGGAAGGAGAAGAGGTAAGACAAACATTCAGATTAATTCCTTCAGAATGTAGCATATATCTTGACCATCTTCCCTAGCCAAGAGTAACGATCTAGTTCCCCTTCACTTCTCCCTTGGCAGATTAAGATAGAATTTGAGTATCCAGTTATGTCCACTCCAGCTGCATCATTTTTGTCTCGCTTGGAACAAAAGTTGCAGTATGCGAGACATAGGTATTACAATCTGGCAGCGATGGCATAAACTATTTGTTTAAAGCTTTATATTTCAGAAGGAAGAAAACCCGGATGCTTCATACATTGTGTGCAGATACCTTGTGTTACGAAGTTTCCGTCTGTCATATGTCCATTGTCCTTGACCTCATTTTCATGGTTCATTGAACAATGTTTAGTTTTTGTGGTTAGCTCTATTTCTCAGATACTATAAGCGATAGGGCCACTATATTTGGTGTTTGGAATGATTGTCAGGTGTACATGTCCATCTGACCTCGACCTCATTTTCCTAGTTCATTGGACAATTTTTAGTTTTTGTGGTTTGGTCTATTTCTCAGGAATTATAAGTAATAGATCAATTATATTTAGTGTATGGAACAAATGTGAGGTGTACATGTCTGTCTGGTAGGATTCATATGACCTTGACCTCACTTTAATGGTTCATTGGTTAATGATAAGTTTTCGTAATTTTTTCAGTTTATCAGATATTGTAAGCAATAGGTCAACTATATTTGGTTAATGGAATGATTGTAAGGAGTTCATGTCTGTCTAGCAGGGTTCATATGACCTTGACCTCATTTTCTTGGTTCATCATGTTCATTGGTTAGTGTTAAGATTTTGTGATTTGATCTGTTTCTCAGGTACTATTAGCCATAGGACCACTATATTTAGTGTATAGAATGATTGTAAGGTGTACATATCTGTCTGGCATGGTTCATCTGACCGTGACCTCATTTTCATAGAACATTGATAATGTTAAGTTTATGTGATATTTGTAGTAAAACCTTTATATTACAGACTTTGAACATGAATTCAATGATAAGTAAAACAGGCGAGACATTCCAGCGTGTGCACTCTTGTTTACCATTGGCAGCACTTGAACTCTCTTCAGTTTGGCGGTGTAAAAATGGTTGTGTCTAATGTTTACAAATTTCATGAAACAGGAACCACAAATATACATCATTTTTGTACATTGACATATTTTTTTCCAAGTGAGTGTAGTGTTTCTTCTCCATATTAACACTTTGATTATAAAGGTACAGTTTTTATTATGCCCCAGCCGTCACCGGAGGTGGCATTAAGTGTTACCCTTGTCCGTTGGTACGTTTTCTAACTTTAGTTTGCCTCAACCAAATGTTATGAAACTTATACACAATTTTTATTACCACAAAACACATATCAAGTTCGAATGGGTGGCGTAACTTTTACAGGGGCATCATCTGTGTCCCATAGACACATTCTCCAATTTTTTGTCTTTGATAAAATCAGATGCTTTGTTTTAATAGATTGATGTAGATTGGGATGATGATAATGGACCAATTGCAGAGGTTTGTATCTACTGATTATGAGAGATTACCTTTTGTTTACATGTAAATTATAGATCATAAGTAATTGTATAGCCATTATAAATTATTGTTAATACAAATAAACATTATTAATTTAAGTTCAACCTTAACTTTAATTTAGGATCTGGAATATCATTTTCCTAAATATGAAGAGATAAATATTTTCTATAGAAGGTTTTATGATTAATTTTTAGCATTTTGACACAAAGGATATAAGACTACCATTTATTTTTCATACACTGGATACCATACCTGTTAACCCATCAATAGAAATTTGAGTGTTTCAATCAGAAAATTTGGTCATAACTCTGGATAAAAACCTTTTTATTGTTCTTGAAAATGAAAAGATGAAGTAAAAAATTCATTTAAAATGTAGTTGTTGTTACTCTTATTTTTGTCAGATACAAATTATTGAGAAATCATAATAAAGAATCATACAAACCAACCATTAATATATAGCAAGGTATATCTGAAAGATCATCAATTATTCTCTTACAATCATGCCAATGATTTTTTATGATATAGTTTCTTAAAAAGCCAGTTTTCACTTTGATGTTGGTCATTATTATAAAACTTTCATTGTAGGAGCCCAGTTTTCCTGAATTTGAAACAACTATTAAAAACAAGATAAAATCATGTGGTGGACGAGTCTTTCCAAAGTTAAATTGGAGTTCTCCACAGGTATAAGTATGCTAATGTTAATAATCAGTCAAAATAGTGAGAAAAACAATACACTATACATTCAATAAGCATACATAAAAATTCTGCGTAGGTAAAACCGTAAAAGCGTAATTTCTGTACATTTTGGTCTGTATGAACTAGCTGTATGCCCATATAGCATAAAAAACAAATGGGAGTAAAAATTTCAGAAGAATGCAAAGATAAAAGGGCATGACAATAAGAATGTGCTTTTTTTATAACACGATAATTAAAATACATTGTAATTTATTTTCATCTGATACTGAAAATTTCAGATAACTTTAATTTAGTGATCTGATTTTTGTATTGGAGAGAGCATATACTAGCTAATATTTCTTCTAAAAGATTTTTAGCATAACTTGCACATTTGGTTATCTTTTCAGGATGCTACTTGGATATCATTTGATAAAACATTGAAGTGTACATGTCCTAGTGATATATACCTCTTGCTAAAAAGTTCAGAGTTCATCACCCATGATTTAACACAACCGTGAGTAGTTTTAGGATTGATATCAGAACAATTAATTCAGTAAGGATAAAATAGATGCATGAAATGCCACACTTATTTTTAAAGAGAATTTCTTTTTAAAGCATTTAAGGTTTTCCTAATAATCTAATTTTGGTATTCCCTGATTTTTAAATGGATTAAGTCTCTCTGTATTCCAAGTATAAGGAACTAGATCAAAACTTTTGAAGGAAAAAAAAATTAAAGGACAATATTCAAATATTGTTTAAATTTATTGCTTAATTTTAGAGGCTAATCTGAAATGTAATCGATAAATTTTTTTGTTTTGTTTTGACAATATACATCCAAATTCACATAAAGGTTAACCAGTTTTCTTGCACTTAGTCAAAATTAGTATAATCACTAAAAGTAAAATTAAAAACAGACAAATTTTTCATGTTCGTTTAGTCTTATATCACCATATTAGATATTTTGATACTTCAGTAACAATTGAATAGGTAACAGAAAAAAAACAAGTCTGTCTTTAAGCTGTTTTACTGAACAGTAAAAAATTGTGTACTGATATCATTTCATTTAGAAGATTTATCTGTCGGAGGAAATATTTATAGGATTCTGTTTGATTTTTTTCAGTTTTTGTAAATGTGAAGATTACGATGAAGACAGAAGTGATATAACAGTTAAATATCATTTAATCCTCAGACAATGGCAAGATTTAAATCCTGCAGCAGAATTTAGATGTTATGTCAGAAATAACCAGTTATTAGGTAAGGAATATGTTGTAAATTCAGAAATGTTTGCCTTATTTTCATTGCAAAAATTGTAACTGGATAGGTTTTGCATAATAAAAACTCTCATTTTAAAATTGGAAAGCATTAGTTGTATGCACCATTTCCTCAAAACCCAAAAAATAACTCACATTTTTTACCATTGTTCAACAACAACAATGCTTAATACATGCAAACATTTCTGAATTATTATAGTAATAAGGATAAAAGGAGATGTGGGCATGTATCACTGAGGCAGCAACTCAACAACACAAACAAACTAAATTTTTTTTGAAAATTCAGCATACATGTTCAGTCTTCAAGAATAGAAAGGTGTCTATACAATGTAACAAGCTCTAAATTGCCTTTAGTCTAAAGCTTGTGAATAAATCTTACAGAAACTAACAAAAATCTTCCATCAGCACCAAATTCACCAAATGATAAAAAAACACATTTAGATTTGACAAAAGACAACCACTAAAGAGGTTCCTCAAAGAGAGGATAATCAAAGTTACATAAAAGAATATACAACAAAATTCAACTCAGGGAAAACACTCAACTCTATGACAATGGCTTAATAGTCAACAAAACACAAGGATATCAAAGTATGGTTGCATGCTAGGTCAAAGTACTTAACCTAGTTCTCTCCCAGTTTTTGATGGGGTTCATATTTCATGTATGGTAAGTCCATCCTTTTTCAAGGACCTAAAAATCACATCTCCTTATTTTATAATGATAAGAATATAGTTCTAAACAATAAAGTGTTAAAGGAAATTGTTAGTTGTGCATATTTTCCATTTCAATCTAGAAGTCTTTTAATGGTAAATTTTAAATAATTTTGAATAAAAAAATCCCTTAAAAATCAGTTTGATCAGTGCTATATCTTAATTTATTTTATTGTTTGACAGCTATTTCACAACGTCATCACTCAATATACTATGAACATATTTTGGATCAAAGAGAAGATATTGTAGCTGATATTAAGTCATTTTTCTACCATATGGTATCTCCAAAATTTCCATGTACAAGTTGTAAGTATCAAAAATATGTACTGCTGTTGTGTAATCTATATTTATCATTGATGACTAGTTATTATTACATTGTTTCCAATGAACTGTGGTGATTTCCCAGTCACTTAAAAATAGTTCAGAAATCCTGTAATTTCACTTCTCTGATGTCATACAACAATAGGTGTTGTCAAAACTTTAAGGACCTTGCATCAAAACAAATTGCTTTGCGTAGAAATAAGTATATTTCAATGAATTTTCTACTTTATTTACATTCATAGTCATTGTTATAAAATGAATAACTAATTATTCAAGAATTCAAATATGAAAAAAGATTCAGGAACAAACAACACTGATAATTAACTCATGCACTATGAACATTCCTGAATTAATGTGTTGTTTAGTCACTTGTTGAATATTGTTTGACATTCAAATTCATGGATTCGTTTAATATTCTATATGGAATAATCAATATTCAACTTAAAAAAGAACCATACATTGAATAATCAACGAACTACAATATTTCCAAAATTGAAACCGTAAGAAGGTTTTTTGTAGAATATTGAAATATGAACATTTCAGATGCATAGTCCAGATGATAACGTTTTTGTCTCGCGTTGTCTGATGTGGGGGAGGGATCAGTAGTTAATAACCTGTTTTTGCTCCAACAATTTAGTTTAGTGAAAATTTGTGATCTCATATTGAAACCACTGTTTCCCATAAAAAGATTGAAATGTTTTGTTTCAATGCTAGACTATGTTGTTTGTTTCAATGCTAGACTCTGTTGTTTGATATTTAAAACAGTTAAATCAAAATATTTGAAATATTTTGAAATTCTATTCATAAATTTTGTTCTATTAAAATCTGTTTCATTTCATGCTGCGTTCACACGTAATTCGAATTCGATTCGCATTAACTAATTCGAATTAGTTTAATTCGCATTCGAAACGTTTAACGTCCAAACGTAAATTCTAATTCGAATTGCAATTCGCGTCAAATTCGCTTTACTGTCCTAACGACGTTAACTTTTAATTCGTATTAACAAAAACGCATTTCTAATGCGAATTGGATAATGCGATTTAGCCAATTCGAATCAATTCGAATTAAAAAAGAAGAGTGTGTGAACGCGATTAGCGAATTCGATTCGCATTCGATTCGAATTCAATTCGAATTAAATGTACGTGTGAACGAGGCATCAATTGCATAGCTTTGAATTCTGTTGTACACAATATAGCCCCAGTCTTTTAGCTTATTATGCAATACACTTAAATGTTTCCATATTTTTAGGGGGTAGTTTGAAGGAAAATATTTTAATATGGAATAAAGAAAAATGTAAAAACTTTTATAATAGAAATAGCAATATTTTTATGCCCCCACCGTAGCGGAGGGGGCATTAAGTTTTACCCTTGTCCGTCTGTTTGCCTCAACCAAATGATATGAAACTTATACACAATGCTTATTACCACAAAACACAGATCAAGTTTGAATTTTGGTGTGTCACTTTAACCGTTCTAGAGTTATGCCCCTTTATAAATGGAAAAATTGCAAAATTTTTAGTTTCCGTTCTCTAACTTAAGTTTGCCTCAACCAAATGATATGAAACTTATACACAATGCTTATTACCACAAAACACAGGTCAAGTTTGAATTTTGATAGCGTCACTTTAACCGTTCTAGCGTTATGCCCCTTTATAAATGGAAAAATTGCAAAATTTTTAGTTTCCGTTCTCTAACTTAAGTTTGCCTCATCCAAATGTTATGAAACTTATACACAATGCTTATTACCACAAAACACAGATCAAGTTTGAATTTTGGTGGCGTCACTTCAACCGTTCTAGAGTTATGCCCCTTTATAAATGGAAAAATTGCAAAATTTTTAGTTTCCGTTCTCTAACTTAAGTTTGCCTCAACCAAATGTTATGAAACTTATACACAATGCTTATTACCACAAAACACAGATCAAGTTTGAATTTTGGTGGCGTCACTTTAACCGTTCTAGAGTTATGTCCCTTTATAAATGGAAAAATTGCAAAATTTTTATTTTCTTCTAAATATCAAGTAATTTTTTTTATATGCAATAGGTCAACTATAAAGGGTGTATGGAAATATTTTATGATGTACAAGTCAGACTCACAGGTTTTAGTTGACCTTGACCTCATTTTCACGGTTCATTTCTCAGTGTTAAGTTTTTATACGACCGCAAAAATTGGACACATTGGTTTTCGCACTCTAACTTTAGTTTAAGTGTGTGGATCTCTATGAAATTTTACCATAAGGTTCAATACCACAAAAGGAAGGTTGGGATTTTATTTTGGGGGTTATGGTACCAACAGTTAAGGAATTAGGGGCCAAAAATAAGCATTTATGTTATGATGCTGGGATTGATTTTGGGGGTAATTGCCTCCAAATTTTAGGAATTAGGGGCCAAAAAAATGGCAAAAAACAAGCATTTTTCTAGTTTCATGACAATAACTTGTGTGTAAGTGTATGGATCTTTATGAAATTGTACTACAAGATTTCATATCACAAAGGGAAAGCTGGAATTGAGTTTGGGGTAATTGCCCAAAACGTTTAGGAATAAGGGGCCAAAAAGGGGCCAAAAATAAGCATTTTTCAAGTTTCCAGACAATGACTTGAGTTCAAGTGTATGGATCTCTCTGAAATTGCAAAAAAACAAGCATTTTTCTAGTTTCAGGACAATAACTTGTGTGTAAGTGTATGGATCTTTATGAAATTGTACTACAAGGTTCCATATCACAAAGGGAAAGCTTTGGTGAGTTTGGGGGTTATTGCTCTAAACGTTTAGGAATTTGGGGCCAAAAAGGGGCCAAAAAACAAGCATTTTTCTAGTTTCCAGACAATAACTTGTGTTCAAGTGTATGGATCTCTCTGAAATTGTACTGCAAGGTACCATACCTCAAAGGGAAGGCTGGGATTGAGTTTGGGTGATGAATCATAAGGGGGTTCAAAAAATTTGGGTTGGGGATTTTTTTTCATTTTTTTTTTCTTTAAAATTTTCCATTTTAAATTGGTTATTTCTGATTTATATATAAAAGCAAATAATAATGATATGGTTTGAATAGGTAAATTTAAATTTTTTAAGGTTTTAGACCACATTCATTCTGTGTCAGAAACCTATGTTGTGTCAAATATTTAATCACAATCCAAATTAAGTGTTGTATCAAGCTTGAATGTTGTGTCCATACTTGCCCCAACTGTTCAGGGTTTCGACCTCTGCTGTCGTATCAAGCTGCGCCCAGCGGAGCATTTTATTGTGTTTTTGTCTGTTTTTCTTCAACTATAAGCAATAGATCAACTATATTTGATGTATGGAAGGATTGTAAGGTGTATATGTCTGTCTGGCAGGTATCATCTGACCTTGACCTCATTTTCATGGTTCATTGGTCAATGTTAAGTTTTCATAGTTAAGTGTTGTTTCTTAGATACTATAAGCAATAGGTCAACTATATTTAATGCCTAAATTGATTGTAAGGTGTACATGTCTGTCTGGCATGGTTCATCTGACCTTGACCTCATTTTCATGGTTCATTGGTCAATGTTAAGTTTTCTTGATTAAGACTGTTTCTTAGAAACAATAAGCAATAGGTCAACTATGTTTGGTTTATTGAATGATTGTAAGGTGTACATGTATTTCTCGTTTGGTTTATCTGACCTTGACCTCATTTTCTTGGATCATGTTAAGTTTATGTGTTACTTGTAGTAAAGCTTTGTATTTAGGACTATCAACATAAAATCAATGGTTAGTAAAGAAGGCGAGACGTTTCAGCGTGTGCACTCTTGTTAAAGTTGGAGTTATCTTCCTTTGTCCATGATTATAGTTGAATCAACTACAATCAATGCTTTATACAATGCAATGTTTAATTTTGACTTCCACTGATAAAACACAGATCAAGTTGAATTTGGGTAGTGTCACTTTAACCATTATTGAGTTATGCCCCTTTATAAATCGAAAGATTGCAAAATTTTTAGTTTCCATTCTGTAACTTAAGTTTGCCCCAACCAAACATTATGAAACCTATACACAATATTCATTACCACAAAACTAAGATCAAGTACAAATTTTTTGTTTCCATTTTCTAACTTTAGTTTGCCTCAACCAAATGTTATGAAACTTATACACAATGCTTATTACTACACAATACAGATTAAGTACAAAATTTGGTGGTGACACTTTTACCATTCTTGAGTTATGTCCCTTTTTAAACATAAAAATTGCTGAATTTTTTAGTTTGTCTCAACCAAATGTTATAAAACTTATACACAACCATTCTAGAGTTATGCGTGTTTACAAATAGAAAAATTGCTGAATTTTTAGTTTCTGTTCTCTTCTTAAGTTAGCCTCAACCAAATGTTTTGAGACTTACACACAATGCTTATTACCACAAAACTCAGATCAAGTTCAAATTTGAGTAGCGTCACTTTTACCGTTCTTCAGTTATGTCCCTTTATAACTATATGATATGCAAGCGGGGGCATCATCTGTGTCCACATTTGGACACTATCCACATTTATTTTTTATTTATAACATTATTTTTAATTTTTCATTCAATTCTATATTACAGATAGTTTTGATGTGTATAGAAGAGACAAGGTAAGCATTTTTTGGGATAACGTTATTTTCTAGTGAGTTAACCTATTCAGATCATATTAAAGTAAGGTTTTAAAAAAATGCACCATAAACACTATTTTAACACTGTAGAATTCAAATCAATAAAAACTTATTATAGTTTTCCCTATGTAAGAATATAGAAAGTTCAATAGTTCAAGATTAAAGGGATCACTTCTGTTATTGTGTGTCTTTGTTATCCACATCACTCTTTAAAGGGAAAATTCGCGATTTTTTACTTATCATCTTATTATGTTCATAATACCATAAAAAACATATTCACCAAGTTTTATTTGGATATGAAAACTAATAAAGAAGAAAATTGGGAATTATTAATTCTATTTATTCAAACTTCCTGACTTCTGTGACGTAGTTTAAGTCTTTTTGCATGCTGGGAGTGGAATTAATCTCATTTAAGTCTTGTTCGTTAACCATCTAATAACGCGATTTAAAGCGCATCGACGACTCTTGGTGTAGCTATTAACCAACTAAAAATTAAGAAAGTAAAGTGATCAGTAAAATTAAATTGTAGGATTTATGTTTTAAGGATTTCTGATATGATTATAGTAATAAAAGTAAATCATACAATAGAACATTTTTATGATATTTTTCTGACGAATATTTTGAACAAACATATATAACTGACATGATTGATAATGTATTAAAAATGCATGTTTGTATTCTGACCTTTTACTTAAGTCCAGCAAACATTTCCAGCTAGTACTGTGTAAATACAATGTGTATTGTACTGTGACACTTAGTGACTGTTGAATGCGTAGTTAAACTCAGGGTAATTAAAATTTCTTTTGATCTTCACTCAGTGAATCTTAGCCGTCACGGTTCACCGTTCCAGGTGTGAACAACATTTTGTATGAATGATAAACGGGAGTGATAGTTTTAGACTCAGAAAATATAAAAAAGAAATATAATTATTTTGGGGGAGTAATAAGGTTGCACAATAACTGGATAGTCGTGGTATATTTCTATATTTTGCGTAAGCTCAGTTTAAAATGAATTATGACCGCTGTCACTGTTTTTGTAACCATGAAATACTGAATTGATTTAATTTAATAGATTTATAAATAATAATGGCCTTCTAAACACGAGTGTATGAACTAAAAATTGTACTATTTCAAATTAGAATCGGTAACCTTTATTATTTAAAATAGATAATTACCAATTGTAATTATATAATTTGGTCCGTCCAAAGCGATCTTTCTTTACATATTCATGAATTGATGTTCTCATCAAAATATTTTAAATCTGTCTCTGTCACAACGTATAAATACTTCAGCTATTTGAAAAAAGATGTTTGAAAATTTGACAGGAAATTCTTGGAATGGAATCAAATAATTACGAACAAATATTCTTTTCAGGTGTGAAAAACATTAAAAAAAAAAGGATTCCTAATCAGGAATGTCCTTATTAAAATATTATAAGTCTCACAACGTATAATACTTTAGCTATTTGACCAACGATGTTTAAAAAAAAAATGACAGAATCAATCTAACGTCAACCTTCCTTTTTTTTGAATGGAGACAGACCGGCGGAATCAATTTTCAATGTGCTTTATATCTTGTACCTTTGCAAGACTTATAATTCATTCATAAACCATTTCTATACCAGAGACATATATACACATATAATCATATGTCTGTTTTAACTGACAAGAATACCCCTAAAGCGGAAAAGCAGTCTATTCTTTAAATTTCTGTTATTTAATACCAAGAAAGAAAAAAATCTGGAAATTAATTTGATACTTTGATACTCAATATTTTACCTGGAAATTATTCATTTCCTCTTTCGGTTTGAAAATAAGATAATAATGTGGTATACAGAACATGCAGAAGTGTGAATGTCATAAAACCTTGTTATATCACAAACCATTATAAATGTGAACCTGTATACGCAAGACCTCATAGGGCGACACCTAACCACATACAGGTAATATACAAGAAGCTCTGTTATACCCGGAAATGTCATTGGATACATAATGTATCAATGCAAAGAAAATTCTGATGATTGTGAAGCATGGCCATTCATGATTTTAGAGGAGTCTTAGATGGGGGATTGCAGAAACGATTTAAATTCTGACTAGATTTTTTCTCAATTTAAATCACTGAACTAAAAAAAAAGAAGAGAAAAGTACGTCCAAGAACAGAATTCTTCTTGTAAATTCATAAATAAAACACTCTTATTTTGTAACTTTCGATAGACTTGACCTCCAACACGCCCCCCCCTCCCCCAAAAAACAACAACCTGGGAACAAGTACATCTAACAATGTTTATGTCCCTGCCCAAATCCCCCCCCCCCCCCCCAAAGAAGAAAAAAGAAAGAAAGAGATGAACGGTATTTCACATCAGATTCAGATATTTATATAGTTGATTGTCGTTAACTAGAGATGCATAGTGACATGTCTCTGCGTTAACTGATAAGAATAACAGGAAAGTATAAACTTGAAAAAAATAGATTGATGATGAATAATATGCGGCACCACTTTTTATCAAAGCGTACCGTCATTCATGTAAATGACTGTCCCTTATTTCGATTAAGAATAACAATTGTACGTGAAATCCTATAGATGGTGAGACTTTTTTTACCAGATATGCGACTTTTCGTATTTATATTTTTTCTCATGTTACCCTTATCAAAGATATAATAGCTGGCTATTATATCTATGCTATTATTTAATATTTTATTCATACTAAGAACAATATTGGGAATGGTATATTCACCCACAATCTAACGTAATAAATTAATCAACCCTCTTGCTGGTCAGACGTTAATACGGTATTCGTTAATTTATTTTTTGTACAACTACTATCAGTCTATCCGAAGTGAAGTTTCTTTATTTCTTCAAATAGACTTTTTGGGATCATTAGTGTACGTCCAGTGGCATATACTACATGCATGTCGGAACAGGAAATTGACATAAGGTACTTTCAGAACCATGTTCACCTTATTATACATTATACAATGGAAGTAATATTAAATATTACTTTCATGATTATACCCAACAATAGTGATGATGATGAATTTCTTCAATTGTTCGAGAACAATCTAATTGAAATATAAATCTGTGATTTTACTATGTCCATAACTTCGATGAACCAAAGCAAGTTAGATATGTATTTAAATCAAATTGTTCTGGATGTTTCTTTCTTATATTCAATATACATGTATATATTTTAAATTGCGACTATCTATAGTTCCGTAACTTTCTATCAAGGCGTATAAATCAATGATCGACAAGTGCGTACATTTTTGTTAAATCAATATTTCTTGTATGTTTCAAAATGTCCATCATTATTGACAACGAGTATATACTTACATTTACCCCAATTTACCCTTGGAAAAAAATTTGTAAATATATTTTTATTTTATCAAATCTTTTTTTGGAATTATTTAGATTTTCATAAATAGTATTCTTTACACCAGAAATGTTATTTATAAACAAGCGTATGAGTTTAGTAATGACAGAGATGTCTCTGGTAATGACTAGTATATCACTATCGGCACGCAAGACAGAGATCTATATTATACACCTGATAGTTTCAAAATGGAAAGTTACAAGTTATCGGCCGTATACACTGATCAATACTCTCACAAGTGAGATGATGCATGAACTTGCTTTATGTAATTGTGTAATAAGAGTTTTTAAGCCCGACAGGAAATCGCTTGAATACCTGGACGTGTCACCTCACAATACCTTTGGGAGTAATACCTTTAGCCATGCTGGTGATCAGATAAGGGAAGGTCCGAATTTATTTAAATAAGTTTATTACATAAAAGAATTATGAACAAATTAGATTTTCGAAAACAATTTTACACGGAACACTTATTTATGACTTTGAACTTTGACTTTTTAACTAATTCCCATATAAACAGTTTAAAAACCGACAGACCATAGTTATTTAACAAATAATTACATTTTCCGTATCAAGTTAGTTAGTCGGATAAAACAACCGTACGATTGACAAGATATCGACACGCAATTACTACTACATTAGGTTACTGCAGGTTTTGGTCCATTGTGGTTTATAGATATATCGTGGTTTCTAAACCGAGAAGATGTCAAAATGGCCGCACGCAGAGAATTGATACTCTAAATTTAAAATCGATGGTGATCTCATATCTAGGAGAATAAAATTTTAATATTTATGAATTTGAGCTTTTTTATACAGAATGGACATAATATCAATTTTTCATTTTTTTGCGAAGTTTCCCTTTAACAGGTGAAAGATTTGTCTACAGTGTGTAAATTTGTGCATCTGCTCTTTTCACTTTTGTTCTAAGCAGTTTTTGGGGATTCCTATACCAAAACCTGAACTTTGTCATTCATAAGGTGACAAGCAGACATTTTTTATGTATGTAAGTTTGTTCTATCAAGTGTATATCGAAATAAGGATATAAATGTGATGTGGCTGAGACCTTGATGTTATTTTTTTATGCTCCTGTAGTAGGATTTAAGTTAAAGTCTGTATTTTGAAATAAACTACTTTTTACAATGAACGCAAATTTAAAATATAAATATTTCATTGTCCTGGATCTTGACCTCAATTAAGAGTTCAAAGCCTATTAGAATAATTCAGATTTTGCTAAAATTATATTGTGTTAAACTGTTAACTCTTGTTTTGTAGGGAAAATTATTGCTGATTGATTTTAATCCATTTGGTAGTGTAACAGATAGTTTAATGTTTACATGGAAAGAACTGGAGGAAGCTAAATCCTTAGAGAGTACTGGAACAGATAGTGTTGATGTAAGATACTGGGGAGAAGTGTAGAACTAACTAGAGAAGACTTGATGTTTGACTTGATACAGGCTCTGCAAAACTGACTTTTGATCATGTGTTGTTGGGAAGATGGGCAGGGAAAAGTGGGTTCCAATTTTGTGTAATGTCAACTCCTATAATCTTAAGGCCAGACCCTTAAAACTTCATAGGAAGATTGGACACACATTGAAGTTGTGCACCAGCTGTTATGGTATTGGTTGAGGAATAATTTACCATTTTTTCCAAACTTTGGAACTAAGTAATTTTTCAGCAATATTTACAAAAGATTGTACAAATGTAGAGTAATCAGCTCCCCTCAAAGTTTTTAAAGTAGATCCTTGAAACTTCACAGTAATTGAAGATTTGCACCTCCCATTAAGAAGTTGTTTAAAGAATTTTTTCCTGTTTTTTACATTTTATATATATGATAAATCCTGTTGACGATTATTATTAGATAATTGAGTAGTTTTCACTACATTAAAATTGTGATTTATAATAGCATTATTTTTTTTCATTAAAAGTTTCCAGCATTTAGATGTGTAGCAAGACCAGAAGGTGTACAACCAAGTCCATATGCAACATGTGGTGTTCCTAGAGATATTATTGATCTAGCTACTGGTCAAGATCCTTACAAACTTATGGATTTACTAAAACTGGTAAGTCAAAACTCAAGTGATTGGATTTGATCATGTATTTTCTTGTAGGTCTTTTTCAAGATATAATGAAAGAAAATAACTGAAACAAAAATAATTGCTGCGAAAACCTATTTTTAAATACAGGGGAACCCAGATATTTGCAAAATCGTTTCTTTTAAATTGCAGCTTCTATTGCTAGTTATCATATTTTTTATTCATACCTTACAGTTACTGATGTAATAATTAAAAAATGAATGCAATATGATTGTTTATTTTTAAGTACTTTCAGGGCTCATGTCATATCCATTCATTTTATATTGTAATTACTTATTAAATATAGTATTGTTACTTTTCCTACAGAAAGTACAAACCCAGAATGAAGAATCTTCTGATGATGATGAAGACACCATTGCAACACCAACAACTTGATATTATACAGAGTGACAAGTTTATCATTCATGTCATATAACACATAGATCATTGGTTACATGAAAGAAGTTGTACAGAATCATCCATTGGCTTAGATGTTAAATTTACAGGTCCAAGATAAAGAAAACTTTATATATGGCAGTGCACTTTTAATGTATGATTTGAGATATAACTGTCAGAATTGTCTGTCAGTATTTTGTTCTTTTGTCATTTATATCTATTTATTTTAGGCTTGTTTAGGAATAAAAATTTCAAAAAATTGATTAAATGATGGATCATTTGACTTGCTACTTTATAAATGCTAGGAAATTAGTATACTAATGGAATTTCTGGTCGTTGTTTATTAGATACTCTTGTTTTTGCTATATCTTTCATTCAACACCACATTGTTTTATATTGAATATATAAACTGAATAATGGATGGAATGTATTGTCATTTTAATAAACAATTTTATAGTTTGTATTATCATCTTCCTGGCTTATGAAAAACAGGAAATTTATATACAGATAATAGATCTTAAAAGTGAAGTCAGGAAAGAGTTTTTGTACAAGGAAATTATTCATGTTTAATAAAAACAATTCTGATGAGAGAATAAAATTTGTTATGCATATTGAGAAATATATGGTTTGTTAAACAGACATTTTATGTGTTTATGCAAATTATATTAATGATGGCCTTATTTAATAAATATGGAACCATTCTTGCATATATCTTGCACAGTCAAAGATCATATGGCAAGCCCTAGATGTTAATTTGGTTACTGTGTATTGTTTTAATTTGTTGTTTTACATGTAAATTTGTTTTTCTTATAGAAAACAATAAGATGTGGCTTATACATCAATGAGACAGTAGCCAAATGACAAATGACCAAAGGCCATCTAGGGATAAATAAATGACTATACCATATGGCAAGTGTGATGTACAAGTATTTCCAGAAGATACTTTTAAACCATATTATCAAAAAGTAGTCAATTACCCTTCTGTAAATTGAAATTGAAAAATTATTTTTTTTACATAACAATGATTTAAAAAACATATTGTTCCTGCATCCAACAAAAATTTGTTTTTTTATTAAAGTTGACAAAAAATTAGTTGTCCCAAAAAAAGAAAAAACAATCAAAAGATGAATGGTTTGCTTCTGGGTATATGTTCAAAAATACATTTTAAGGTTCCAAGATTTTGCCTTTTGACCCATATATGTATGATCTTAAACGCGTTGCGGGGGACATAGAAATACCTGGCATCTGTCCGTCTGTCTGGGGTTGTTAGCACTCTCACATGTACAATTCTTTTCAAAGTTTTATAAAACTTATATCATAGATTTGTATCTGCAATGTCTTGGACGAGTTTGAAAAAAATCAAGGCTGATCAACTATTTTTAAAATAGTTATGCCCCTTGGAAACATTAATTACTAGTATATGGAAAATTGCATCATTAGCGCTCTCATGTGTACAATTGTTGCCAGATTTTTATGAAACTTATATTGTAGATTTATTCTAGCAATGTCTAGAATGAGTTCTAAATCAGTGACGTTCAACTATTTTTAAAAGAGTTATGTCCCTTTGAAACATTAATTATATAAAAAATTGCATCGTTACCTCTCTCATGTGTACAATTCTTGCCATATTTTTATGAATCTTATATTGTAAGTTTATATCAGCAATGTCTTGGACGAGTTTGAAAAATCAGTGCCGATCAACTATTTTTAAAGGAGTTATGCCCCTTTGAAACATTAATTATATTGAAAATTGCATGGTTAGCGCTCTCATGTCTACAATTCTTGCCAGATGTTTATGAAACTTATATTGTAGGTTTATAACAAAAATGTCTTGGACGAGTTCGAAAATCAGTGCTGATCAACTATTTTTAAAAGAGTTATGCCCCTTGGAAACCTTTATTATATGGAAAATTGCATCATTAGCATCTCATGTGTACAATTCTTGCCAGATGTTTATGAAACTTATATTGTAGGTTTATATCAGGAATGTCTTGGAGGAGTTCGAAAATAAGTGCTGATCAACTATTTTTAAAAGAGTTATGCCCCTTGTAAACATTGATTATATGGAAAATTACATTGTTAACGCTCTCATGTGTACAATTCTTGCCAGATTTTTATGAAACTTATATTGTAGGTTTATATCAGCAATGTCTCAGACAATTTTGAAAATCAGTGCCAATCAACCATTTTTAAAAGAGGTATACCCCTTAAAAATATAAATTACATATGTATGGAAATTTGCATTGTAAGTGCTCTCACATGTTCAATTTTTGCCTGATTTTTATCAAATTCATATCAAAAGTATATAACAGCAATGTCTTGGACAATTTCGAAAATAAGTGCCAATCAAATATTTTTTAATGAGTTTCCCTTGGAAATATCAAATATATCGGAAATTGCTCTCAAGTCTTCAACTCTCTTGAAAGATAATTTTAAAAAGTTTTACATTTTTTTTTAGTTATCGCCCTTTGACAGAACAGATGAAATATGTGCAACTAGGGGGACATTGGAACTCTTTTTATTTTGACAAATTTGGGCTAAACTGACTGCTTATGACAAAATATTATTTCAAAATTCTGCTTTTATTAATACTTTAACAAAAAGAATCGTATTATAAATTTTGATCTAGAAAGTACCTAATGCCCCTTTAACCAAATCTTGATTGACACTTTTCATTTAGGGATTGAAAAGCACTATTGACATGTAGGTCAAAGGTCAATGTCAGTTGAAATATTTATAGACTGATATTTGGTTTTCAATTTTAAATCTTTACTAAAATTCTTAAACAAATTTTAGCTAACAGTATCTCTTAGAGTGACAGAAAACCCCTTAGTTTCCATTTTTTATTTTTGCAAAGGGAAACAACAAAGTAGGACAAACTGTATCCTGACCTACACAATCATTAAGGATAGAGCATTTTTTGAGGTATGTAAGCTGTAATGAATAGTTATGAATATTTATTGCATTATCAACTTTATTGCAATCCTGTTTTTAACAGTAACAAGTATCGAAGCAATGAAGTCAATATTATTGTCAGAACCTGCATTATGTACCATATTCTTTCCACTTGTTGAGGCAGTAATACAGTTTGTCCTGTCTAGAAACATTTTTCCTTTTGCAAATTACAGGACAAATAGATCAGCAGGTCAAGGTCCATCTCTTTAAGTTATTTTCAGAAAAATTGGACAACCCTTTTCAGAGCAATTGACCCATAAATGTTTTTTTTTGAAAATTTTCAAAGTTTTGATTATTATCTAAAAAATTATAACAGATAGAAATTTGGAACAGTAAAAATGACCAGAACAATAAGATCTACAAATAAGTGATCCTGGCAGAAATCATCAATTGGCCTCTTATAAGAGTTGTTACCTGTGAATGACAATTTTTGTCGAGCCTGCGACGTTTGTCGCAGAAAGCTCGACATAGGGATAGTGATCCGGCGGTGGCGGTGTTAGCTAACTTCTTAAAAGCTTTATATTTTAGAAGGTTGAAGATCTGAATGCTTCATACTTTGTATATGGATGCCTCATGTTACGAAGTTTCCGTCAGTCACATGTCCAATGTTCTTGATCTCATTTTCCTGGTTCAGTGACTACTTGAAAAAAAAGTTAAGATTTTTTGTAATGTTAAATTCTCTCGTATTATGAGTAATAGGATAACTATATTTGGTATGTGCATACCTTGCAAGGTCCTCATGCCCGTCAGATAGTTTTCACTCGACCTCGACCTCATTTCATGGATCAGTGAACAAGGTTAAGTTTTGATGGTCAAGTCCATATCTCAGATACTATAAGGTCTAGTATATTCGGTGTATGGAAGGACTGTAAGGTGTACATGTCCAACTGGCAGGTGTCATTTGACCTTGACCTCATTTTCATGGTTCATTGGTTATAGTTAAGTTTTTGTGTTTTGGTCTGTTTTTAAAGGCAGTGCTTTAATGCCTTTCTAGTTGCCGGGTTAATCCTTCCTTCCGCGATATCCAACTTATCTACGTGGGGGGTCATTAGACTCCAAGTAGATCCGGAAATGTTGAATTCTCTCCTCTTCTTATTGCGATATAAAATGTTTTTTTGTTTCATTTCATTTACATTGGGAAATAGAGAAACGATCATTGTGTTTTGTTAGTTTTAAAAACTTTTGATATATTAGTATTTTGCATTATAAGCAGTCAACCGATTGACAAACTAGAATTATTTGAATTCCGTGTGGAAAGAGCTCGGGTTAATTTCGAGTGTTATCTGCAATCTAGATGTTTATAAATCATTTCAGTCGTTGATATAATAATTAAAAGGTCGACTGAACATGAATTATATTATACAATTTAAAGCGCATTTCTGTTTATGCACGTGAACCCGTCTAACGTTATTTTCGCAGTTATATAAAGTAGCAAATTATCGTTCCTGAATAGGTGGCGCCGTGGTAGCGGATCCTGTTCCTCTTCTTCCGGTTTCTGCACTGTGCAACTATTTCAGTTATATTTTTAATTAACGATGCCAAATACTTGTTGTTGTGTACCTGGATGTCATTTAAGAGGAGGACATGCATTTCCAAATGACTTAAAAAGAAGGAAAAGTTGGATCAACGCCATGGCCCATACGCAGATTGGACGAGAACACGATGATATCGTGGAGTCCATCTCAATCAGCTGTTGTTTGCAAGGCACGTTTTACTGAACAAGACTACGTGCAGGAAACTATTCATGGTAAAACTCTATTTTCTTTGTGAAATATATAGTTATATATGTAATCGCCATGCGAATAAACCAAAGTCTGTTTACAACCGCAATTGTCGTTTTAGAATAAAAGGGGGTGGGTAATTCAAGACGTCATAATTTTTTGGATTACGATTCAATGTGATCTGTTTGAGATTTTTTGGTGATTGCTACAATTATAATGATTTCTTACAAGAGGTATATCATACTGAGAATTATTTTAGCAGTAATTATGCTAATGTAGTAATGACAGGAATGCATAAGCTATGCCTCATAGACTTTCTTGAAAAATATCAATGACAATGTTAACAGGAACAAAACAATGACATGCTCTCATCTATATTATAGTTATTTAGGTACAAACAATGTAAGTTTGTTGCATAAGTCTCTCATTGTTTGTCCTTTGGATTTACATAACATACATTGAATCAGGCAAACATAGTTTTATCCAGATTGTAATGAATAAATCTAGTTAATATTTCGCCAGGTAGTACAAAGTATACATTGCTAATGGAAGTTCATTTAATTATAAAAAAACTAATGTTTTATAAACTTTTTCAGGGCGCAAACCCACCATACAGAGACTTAAGTCTACTGCAATTCCCAGCCTATTTTCCTGGACCAAGCAAGAGACTGAATCGTCCGCAAAAAGAAAAATCAGGGCAGTTTCCTGTGAAAACAAAAGAACTAAACTTGATGAATATTGTAGTAGAAATCTAGAGGAAAGTTTTGATTGTAAAGTTGGTTTTCCTGAAGAAGTCATTCATACTGCAGAAAGGATTTATGACTGTCCACAACCAACTGCCGAGCTAATGTTGAGCTTCACAGATGGAATAACGCAAACACCATCAATGCCTATGTTTTCAGCAGAGAATTTTGAAATGAAGACACGTGACACAGCCATGCATTTTTATACCGGTTTAGAGTTGTATACTAAATTTTTATTTGTTTTGACCACACTTGGTCCAGCAGCACATTGTTTGAGATACA